ATTTCTGAGCCGGAGGCTAAAAAACTGTGCGCTATCTCACACGAACTCAGCTTAGAGGGAACGCTGCTCTCCAGAGACCGTCTGCTTCTGAATGGCAGGTGCTGGGGAGGGCCACTGCCTTCCTGCCCTGGCTGGTGGAGTTTTTCGAGTTGGATGTTGAACCAGATGGATCATTGGGCCTGACCTATCAGGGCAACATCTTATGCTTCTCATGCAATTTAGGATCCGAACTCCAGAAAGCTCCTTTCACATTGTGTGATTGTCGACAGCAGCCACAGCTAGGCTGAAATAAGCCCAAGCACAGCTGGGAAGTGGAAGCTGGGACCGGTCTGGCTCTAGAGAGGCATCACAGGAGACTCTCCTTTGAAGCCAAGATCCATGACCTTCCTTTGGGCAGCTTCACACTTCAGGAGGCAGACTTGCTTTCTGCCTGCACACCTGTGTTTCCCTCTGCAAAAGCATCATGTCTGGATGAAACACAGAAACACGGAGCTGGAAGGGATCCCGAGGGTTATCTAGTCAATGCAGCACAATGCAGGACCCCAGCACAACGCAGGGAATCCACAGCTACCCCCCACCCCACATGTACAGTGTGAGCACACACCTTGAAACACCCATCTAGGAGCCCTGGCTGCACCAGGCTCATCAGATGTGTACAGTCTACATATGTTTAAAGATACGGGTACCTGAGTGTATGTCATTCACATATTATGCGTTTGCTATGGGAAACAATGGTGATCATGCAGAAAACACAAATTTGCCACGTGAAGTGTGAAGGTATTCTTGGGCTCTGCATCACACAGGCAGTTTGGCTATGGAGCTGAGCTGGCCCAATCCTTCATTAATCAACAAATTTAAGATAATTACAGAAAATGTTAATAAACTTCAATGGTTGCTGATGAATCTCATCATACTTGGAGGGAAAGACATTCTGAAGCTAATTCCCGTATCTTGATGACTGGAGCTTTGACTCTTGAAAGTGTATTATACCCTGGAAATCTTGTTGATCTTTAAGATGCTACTGGATTCGAATCTGGCTCTTCTACTGCAGACGGCTACCCACCTGGAATTACCTTCAAGCTAATTCTGAGTACCGTCCCCTTCCCCCCAAGCTCACAGTGTGAACATATTTGCTCCTGATTTGAGCATTTATGTTTAGCAGCCACTTTAGTTCCTAAAGAGATTTGTAAAACACTTTTCTAAAATCCAAAGCAGTATACAAAAGAATGCATCCTCAGTTTGTGATGCAGCTGGGTTTGGGCAGGAAGCCGATTGGAGAAATACAGGGTGTGAACGCCGCTCATGTCAGATTCATCTTTTTGGCGGGGAGGAGGTGTTCAGGTTCTGCAAAAATTCTATTTAGTTTTAATTCGTAATGCTTTAACTGTTTTTGTAAGCTGCCTTGGACCAGACGGGATATAAATGTCTTAAGGAATAAAATAATGTGTATAGTCTTCACATTCAACAATGAAGAGTCAAATGTCAAAAAATATGACCATGTTTTCTGACTTGCGCAGAAAGCTGTGTAATCCGCCTGGAGTCCCAATGAGAAAGACGGACTATAAATAACGTAAATAAAGAAATGCATAAATTGTAGGTTCAGAGACACGTTGGGATGCGCATGTTTTCTGTCCGTCTGGCTTGAGAAGGGAGTATGGGAAAAGTGAGAGCTCCCCCCCCCCCGGGGTTCCAGGAGATGCGCCTCTACACACCGGGAGTCAGCCCTCCAGCTCCCAGGCCTCCGAGTCCAACGCCCCCGTAACCGGGGACTCCGTATCCTCCTCGGCCGCCAAGGCCTGTGGAAAAACAGGCTCTGTCAGAAACCTTGCCTCAGCGCCCTGCACTGGAGGCAATTCCAAACCATGCTGCTGCTTAAAATGGAGGCTGAGCTGAGGGACTGGGCAGCTGTGGACGACTTCCCTTGCACTGGGAAGAATCGATGCCACTGATAGGCTTTTGGGATCACAAACAACAAGTGAAAGGGTTATCAGATCAATTACCCCGACACTAGGGTTGCCAGGTCCCCTCTGGCCACCAGCGGAGGATGGGGGGTGGGTAGGGTTGCTAGACCCAGGTTGGGGAAGTCCTGGAGATTTGGGGATGGCGCCTGGAGAGAACAGGGACTTCAGTGGGGTGCAGGGCCATACAGTCCAGCCTCCAAAGCATCCATTTTTTCCCCAGGGGAACTGATCTCTGTAGTCTGGAGGTGAGCTGTGATTCCAGGGGATTCCCAGGTCCCACCTGGAGGCTGGTGTCCCTACTTGACAACACCTGACCACAACGTGTCACACTGACCGAGTGCTTTCCCTAAGTACTCAAAGAGCTTTGTGCACAATTCTTACGTACAATCCTGCAAAGTAGGGCAGTGTTATTTGAAAGCACTGTGTGTGTGTGATGCTCAGAGAAACCAGGCCTCCCTCACACCGTTCTGGGAGCTCGTGGGTGGCCAAGGTTTGCACTGTGAGGATCCTAGCTCATGCTTTAAACCTCAATATCCATGGCAGGAGAACCAAGGGAGGCGCAGCCCCAAAGAAGAGGCCTCTGTTGGGAGGGAGACTTCACCTCCTCCCTTCAATCTATCCCAGTGCCTCCTCCTCTTAATGGGCATCCCACCAGGGATTGGTTTCTTAAGAAACCGGTGCTGGGGTTCCAGCTGGCTAACAATTCCCTCTCTCCAAAAAGCTGGAGCCATTCATTAACTCTGGAGTGTGGGGGAGGCCCGGTTGCTCAGGCACTCTGTTCATGCTCAGAGGTACATTGCTCCACATGGGGATTGCACGGGAGAGCTTGGTCTACTGTATTAGTGACAGGGCCATAACTCAGTGGCAGAGCATGTAGGTCTCAGGTTCTAAAAACAGAATCCCCAACCTCTCCAGTTTCAGGCACAAGGGGCGGGGAAAGATCAGGGCCACTGCTGGTTAAAGGAGACGAGGCTGAATTAGGGGGACTGACAGTCTGAGTGGGGACCGGGAAGCCATATATGGGGGGGGGGGGTTGGACCCAACAGACAACTGAGATGACATTCGGTGGCCTGTTCACCTCCCACTTCAGCTGGAAAGTTGGGGAGGGGCTGTGGCTCAGTGGCAGAGCCTCTGCTTGGCATGCAGAAGGTCCTGGGTTCAATTCCTAGCATCTCCAGTTAAAGGACCAGGCAGTAGGTGATGTGAAAGACCTCTTGCCCGAAACCCTGGAGAGCTGCTGCCAGTCTGAGTAGACAATACTGACTTGGATGGACCAAGGGTCTGATTCAGTTTAAGGCAGCTTCATGTGAGTTTCCTGTGAGGAAGCCATCCTGCACCACAGCCAGAGGTCGCACTGGGAACTCTGTCTCTGCCCTACAAACAGAATGCTCCGCCTGCACTGAAGGCCCCACCCTCCCAGGACTCCTAGCAACTGGTGTCCCTTCCCAAACCCACCCCCTTCTGTATCCCACAGACAACTGAGATGACATTCGGTGGCCTGTTCACCTCCCACTTCAGCTGGAAAGTTGGGGAGGGGCTGTGGCTCAGTGGCAGAGCCTCTGCTTGGCATGCAGAAGGTCCTGGGTTCAATTCCTAGCATCTCCAGTTAAAGGACCAGGCAGTAGGTGATGTGAAAGACCTCTTGCCCGAAACCCTGGAGAGCTGCTGCCAGTCTGAGTAGACAATACTGACTTGGATGGACCAAGGGTCTGATTCAGTTTAAGGCAGCTTCATGTGAGTTTCCTGTGAGGAAGCCATCCTGCACCACAGCCAGAGGTCGCACTGGGAACTCTGTCTCTGCCCTACAAACAGAATGCTCCGCCTGCACTGAAGGCCCCACCCTCCCAGGACTCCTAGCAACTGGTGTCCCTTCCCAAACCCACCCCCTTCTGTATCCGTCATACCTGGAATGCCGCCTCCACCCAGTCCAGCCCCTGGAACACCTGTTAGGGACAGGGAACAAAGTCAGAAGTGTGTACCCATTTTTCACTGTACTTGAGTTCATTCACAAGTTCAGAACAATGGATGCCCCCCCCCCCCGGGTTGAACAGGGACAGAGGATTCTTGTCTCACTGCAGATGCTAATTTTCTGCCCCCAGACGGTTCCCCTCTGCTCTGATCAAGTGGATTACAATGTGCATTTGTCCCTCTGCATCCTTTACGGGCATTCTCGGCAACACCCCTCCCACCTTCTGACTGGGATATAAAGACCCGGAGATCTCCATTCCTAATCATGTCTGACGAAGGCAGCTTTGACTCTGGAAAGCTCACACCCTGAAACCCTGGTTGGTCTCGTAGATACCACTGGACTCAAACCTATCTTTTCTACTACAGACCAACATGGCTACCCTTTGGAACTGTTTTTCACTGATGCAGATCCGGGGTTGCTGTCCATGGCTCTGCATTCTAATCCTATCTTCCACTGATGGAGGCAGAGGTCCATCAGTGGCTATTAGCCACAAGGTATAGATAGGGGCTCTGGGGCAAGTGATGCTCTGTCTTCTTGGTGCTTGGGGGGGCCAACAGTGGGAGGGCTTCTAGTGTCCTGGCCCCACTGCTGGACCTCCTCATGGCACCTGGTATTTTTGGCCACTGTGTGACACAGAGTGTTGGACTAGATGGGCCATTGGCCTGGTCCAACATTGGCGTCTCTTATGTTCTTATGTCTTATCTCCCTTTCTGGTTGAGGGACGGGCAGTCAGGTGGCCTTCACTAGCGGTACAGTGAAACCAGTCCTCTTGCCTGGCAGACTTGGGGTGCCGTTAATAGAAACAGACAAATAGGAGCTGTTTTCGGCAGGCTCAACTCGTGGTTGAGAAAGGACGCTGGGAAAGGAGAATTCCCTGCCAGTTCGGGACCTTGAGTTGATTCAGAGGGGTGTGTAAGGTGCCATCTTGGACTTGGCTTGTTAAGTTACTGGACCAGAAACGATCTCTGCAGCCTCTTAGGTTCCAAAACTCTGCTGGATCCATCCCCCCTTTTGAGGACAGGGTGGCCAGAACCGCACAAGGTGTTCTGATCCCACATACGTACCATATTTCGGGGGCTTGGCTCCGGGCTGTGCTCCAATCTGGGGGATCCCTGTAAGATGTCGAAAGAAATAAGTCCTGTCAGAATGCCTGTTGCCTCGAGCGCCCCTTCAGGCTTGCCCTCACAGTCAGCCATCTTGATCTATGGGTCCAGGGCTTTGCGAATGCGTGCCTCGTAATCAAAGATTCGCAAGTGAGGAGGATCTGAGCACCAAGATTTATTTATATAGAACATTTTGATGAACAGGTCCGTTTAGAAGGCTGCCGACAAAACCACTGGGGAAAACCACCATACTGCAAATTAAAACTCCAAAGCAGTCATCAAATCGAAACTGTTGGAACAAACTGCTTTAAGCTAACTCGCTGTAAGGCGAAATAAATCAGCTTGGCAGTTTTTCAGTCATCGGCAGGACCAAAAAGTCTTTGCGAAATCAGAACCAGATGCCTGAGAAAACGGGGCAGAGCAGGCCCCGTTTAGGTAGGGAGTTTCAAGGTGCCGCACCAGAGAAGACCCTGTCCTGTCTCCTGACCCACTGCACTGCAGACAGTGTGGGGACCTGGAGCCAGAAGGAAGATCTTTGTCAACCATGGGTAAGTTCATATGAGAGAAGGCAATTCTTAAGGGACAGCAAAAGAACCAGTTACCTGCACCAGGTATGCCCCCTACACCAGGTACGCCTCCCACGCCAGGTACGCCTCCCACGCCGGGAACGCCTCCCACGCCGGGAACGCCTCCAGCACCTGCAGAGAGATTCAAAATTTTGGAGGTTTTAATTTATAAAACAAAAGGTGTGGAAGTAATCCACTCTGATACAGAAGCCTGGCGGATGGTGATCTTTCCACATTGCCAAGGAAGGGGCATGACCCTCATCTACTGTCCCTAGCTCTTTTATAACAATTAAGCTCTTCCCGGATCACCGTCACACTGGAAGAGGACAGCTCTAACCCCATCACGGGCTCCTTGTCCCCTCTCCAGTCTCTAAACCAGTAAAGGGTCTGGCTGGCTTTGCTCGCATCAACGGGCATCCTACTCTGTGCTTTTTTGCTGAACACGTGCCTCGAAATCTCCATTTTGCATTCACCCAGGAAAAACAGCTGTGGCCAGCTGCGTGGTGCAGAGGGCTAGGACCAGAAGAGGGGCGCTCCCCGAGGAAAAGCCGGGGCAAAGGAGTTGGGGGCAAAGGGGTACAAGCCAGACTCACCGTATTTTGCTGCTTTAGCTGCTGCTGCTGCTGCTCCGAGCCCAGGCACTGAAACGGGAATGAAAGAATACATCATGGCAGTTCAGACGAGGGGTCCCCAACTTGGCGCCCATGGGCACCATGATGCCTGCCAGCCCCTTCCCTGGTGCCCACCAAATGTTCCTAGGAAATGGGGCTTTTGCCCAGCAAGCCACTAGAGATCTGATTGGCTGTGCAGATTTTTAAAAACGTTAGTTTGGCACCACAAAAGTGACAGCCTGCCTCTCTCCCAGCATCTGGTACTTGCAGATATGCTGCCTCTAAACATGGAAGCTCTGTACTTTACAAGTAGAGTTGAAGGCCTCTGTTGGGAACGAACCAAAGCCTTTAACTCGTCCATCCATGTGTGTGGGTGAATGAGTGCATGCAGGGGGTTACTTTAACCAGGGCTTCTTTTGTAAAAAAAAAGCCCAGCAGGAACTCATTAGCATAATAGGCCACACCCAACAGCAGAAACTCATTAGTATATTAGATCACACCCCTGAAAGCACAGCTCAATAGCATATTAGGCCACACCCCCTTGTTACCAGCCACACCCACCTTTTGCTTGTTATTGTTTACCTTGTTTGTTGTCAAAACTTCTTTGCATGTTAGGCCACACACCCCTAATGTAGCCAATCCTAATGAGTTTCTGCTGTTGGGTGTGGCCTATTATGCTAATGAGTTCCTGCTGGGCGTGGCCAGCTCAGGAGCCAGCCGGAACTCCGTTCCTGTGTGTTCCTGCCCCAAAATAGCCCTAACTGCAAATTAAGGGTCCACGTTAATTTTTGAGGCTATTTCATTTCTGATGTGGTCCTGCAACGGGACAGGAAAGAAAATACTAAGGAAAGGTTTGGAGAATGCAAGCAAACTTTGGGCATCCTGATCTGAAACGCCTCTTTCCTCTCCTCCCACGCCTTTTTCTTTTCTTTTCTTTTGTTCGTGTACAGAATCGGATCATCTCATTCGATGAAGTGTTCACGGAGAATCCCAATCACTGAATCACAGAGTTGGAAGGGTCCATGCAGGCCATCTAGTCCAACCCCCTGCTCAGAGTTCCTGGGAACTCAGAGGTTATGGACGACTCTGAGATATTTCAGCTGGTCCTAATAAAAAAAAGTATGACGCTGCTGTTCCCCCCCCCCCATGGATCCACGTGTGACCGATGAGCTTTTGTCTCATTCCAATGACACGCAGCAGATTTTGTTTATTGGCACTGCGGTCCTAAACAGAGTTACATCCAGATTCAACAGGCATGGAAGGGTGCAACTCTGTTTACGACTACCCTGCCAGAAACGGGTACTTGGCTTCATGTTTTGGTATTGCCCCAGTGGATTTAATTGCAGGGACTGGTGGGCCATGTGGTCTTTTCAGAGACGCTGTCCCACCAGCCCCGATTTTTTCACTCAAGAGCTCCTGATAAGAGTCACAAGAACCCCCCCCACCTCCAGGATTCCACAGAAGGGGGGGGGGAGACAAACACCCTGCATTCCGTTCCTTTATGGTCATGGAATTCCCCCTGGATTCTGGTTTCACTAGGGAAATTTCTAATGCTAAATCCAGAATAACAACAACAAGAAGAAGATGAAGAAGAGTTGGTTTTTATACCCTGTTTTTCTCTACCCCGAGGAGTCTCAAAGCAGCTTACAATCACCTTCCCTTCTCCCAACAGGCGCCTTGTGAGGTAGGTGGGGCTGAGAGAGTACTGAGAGAACGGTGACTGGCCCAAGGTCACCCAGCAGGCTTCATGTGGAGGAGGAGCGGGGAATCAAACCTGATTCTCCAGATTACAGTTCACTGCTCTTAGCCACTACACCACGCTGGCTTAGACCATGCACAGCTTGCCACAGCTAGCTCATTAGATCTTCACTCCCCCCCACAGACACAAGTTAATGATGCACAGATGTGCATTTATAAGACACTATGAGAAAGCAGTCTTGCTTAGATTGTATGCACAGATGCATCCAGATTTCCTTTTCTGTACGTATAACCACAGACCCAATAAACTGAGCACACCAGACTGCATGTGCAAACGCTCTGTACAAAATGCAGAAATCAAAGCACGCACAACACTGCGTAGTATTCCTATTGCATCAGTTATGCTTTGGAAACAAGACCGGGCAATTTGGAACTCCAACATCCAGGGAGAGATTCAGATGGAGAGAATTTTGGAACAACGCCTACCTGGAAGACTGTTTGAAAATCACAGTGATACACGGTAGTACTCTTAAGCAATGCGCAGGGTTGTGGCCCTTGGATCTCTTCCACAAATCTTATTGTGTCTGAGCATCTTGCATCAGGGAAAGGGTCCTTCCACTGGAAGAAAGGGCTTCCACTGCAGGAACAGATCCAGGGATGGCAACCCATGAATTGTTAGATTTACCACAAATGCATTTGGAATGAAAAACTGGGGGCCTTCTTGGTGGTGGCCCCCTTGGTTGTGGACCTCCCTGCTCAGGGAGGCTCAACTGATGTTCATTTCATTCCAGAGCTTTCACTGAGCGAGCTTTTCAACTGGGAGGGCTGGTTTTACAACCTTGCTAGCATTACTAATTTTGTGTTGGACGGTAATCAGGTACTACCAACCAGCTTGGCACCTCTGCTCCAAGAAAGTCTAGAAATGTGGAAGATGAAATAGAAGGAAAGAAAGAAATGCCACAGGCAACAAGCACCACCACAACAGAACACATGTAGGGCTGCTAACCTCCAACGCCGCCAACTCCGACACCGGGCACCAGGCCGCCAACCCCTCCGACGCCAGGTGCCAGGCCGCCAACTCCTCCGACGCCGGGCACCAGACCTCTTGCTGCAGCAGCTCCTGTTTGATTAAAGCACACCTTTAACAAAAATAACAACAACAAAAATAACAACAGCAAAAATAACAACAACAAAAATAACAACAACAAAAATAACAGCAACAAAAATAACAACAACAAAAATAACAGGTAACAGCCTGGGAACTACTGTGACACAAGGTCAGCAAGCATCTGTATGCACTTTTATTAAGGCTACAGAAGAAGTCAAAATGTGCCCCAAAGAACTGACATTCTAAGGCCTGCAAAGGGAGTCTAAAGAGGGCACCTCTCTTCTCTTGACGCCTCACCAAGGGCCGGGCTTCCCAGTCTTGTAGGAAAGGGAAAGGGCGGCGTGATCGATTGCACTTGCAACACTGGCTGTTCTTTTATTTCTTTTAGGCAGTATCTGCCAGGCTGCTGTTCCTCTCCTTCTTTTCTTCTTTTCCTACCCTAGGTATTGCTGCCAACTCCAGGTTGGGGAGATCCTGGAGATGTGGGGGTGCAGCCCTGGCATGGTGGGGTTTGGGGAGGGAAGGGAACTCAGCAGAGTAGAGTGCCATAAAGCTCACCCTCCAAAGCAGCCATTTCCTTCACGGGAAGTGATCTCTACAGACTGGGCAACAGTGGTAATTCCAGGAGATCTCCAGGCCCCAGCTGGAAACTGGCAACCCTAATCCCTAGGCCGGACGGGGCACCTGCACAGTCAGCCTCTTACTTACCGTATTTAGCTGCCTTGGCGGCTGCTTTTGCTGCTCCAGGACCTCCTGGTACCAACCCTAAGAAGAAGAAGAAGAAAGGAGGAGGAGAGTAGAAACCGCCTATCCTAATTCCATCGAGTGCCCCCGCAACCCATCCCCGCCTTGTCTTCACTGGCCAGATGGGAAAAGGCCTGGCAAATGTCTGTGGCATGTCTAAACCTCAAAGGGAAAGTACAAAGAGAGAATCACGGGAACGAAATAAAAGAGGAAAGCAAAAACCAAGACTGAATTTTACGAATATACTATTGTATAACCCTTTTAAAGGCATCATAAAGTTCCATTCACAATATATAGGTCCATGCAGTCATAGATAACAGATGCCAACTATACTACACAGTTAGTTACAGTGGAAATCACTTTGGAGGCCTCCAGCCCCAAACCTCAGTTCAGAAGGATCCAAGTGCAGAAAATTCCAGAAGACTTTGATCAATCCGCAAGACTGTGATTAGTACCCAGTAAAGTGCTTGTCAAATATTACTGTCTTGTTCTTGAGTAAATCTATCTTGAGATTCTTAAGGTGCTTCTTGAAAATTTAAAGTGCTTCGTGCTCCATGCCTGTTGTATCCATCAATATCCAAAATATAGAGGTGCAATAATCCATCCAACGGAATTTGCCAGCATATGTACTTTCCTCACAGATGGAAAATTACATTTTACCAATCCACAACAGCAAAGCACTCAAACCATGTAAGAAGCAGGTCTCCATCCTGGACTAGATGGAACACTGGTCTGATCCAGCATGGCTCTGCCTATTATGGAAATACCCAAATTTAGTTGACAAACAAAAGGAATCATCGACTGGAGAAAAATTATTTGGGAAGAGACTGTTCTCATGGGCCTTCCTGGTAACCCACTAGGTAATATTATCAACTTTGGCTTCTGTTGGCTATTTCCTGGTACATCAATATCCAGTTTTGTTAATATCACGATTGCTACAAATTTCATCCGCTCTTGGCCTTTTAAGTGATCTTTGTGTTCCATTATGGTTGGGGTAACACTTGATCAACTACTGGGTTTCCTGTTTTCAAATGGAAGCTGCCTTAACCATCTGTTTTTCTGTTTTCAAATACTGTTTTTCTGTTTTTCTGTTTTCTGTTTTTCTGTTTTCAAACCATCTGTTTTCAAATGGAAGCTGCCTTAACCATCTAACGGAATTTGCCAGCATATTTACTTTCCTCACAGATGGAAAATTACATTTTACCAATCCACAACAGCAAAGCACTCAAACCATGTAAGAAGCAGGTCTCCATCCTGGACTAGATGGAACACTGGTCTGATCCAGCATGGCTCTGTCTATTTTGGAAATACCCAAATTTAGTTGACAAACAAAAGGAATCATCAACTGGAGAAAAATTATTTGGGAAGAGACTGTTCTCATGGGCCTTCCTGGTAACCCACTAGGTAATATTATCAACTTTGGCTTCTGTTGGCTATTTCCTGGTACATCAATATCCAGTTTTGTTAATATCACGATTGCTACAAATTTCATCTGCTCTTGGCCTTTTAAGTGATCTTTGTGTTCCATTATGGTTGGGGTAATACTTGATCAACTACTGGGTTTCCTGTTTTCAAATGGAAGCTGCCTAGTGCAGGGGTCTTTGAGAACTTTAACATTAGCATACTGGTTTGTGTTATTTAAAAGGCATTACTCAACTTTGGTTGTGGATTTTACCTTGGACTAACACAGCTACCTGCAAACACAAGAGTCTTTTGTTATTCTAGACCTCATGGTTGCCCTGGGAGGGTGAATGGAACCTCCCATCTTTTGAATCACTGCAGAAACACAACACTGAGCCAAGACATCACTACCTGCACTGGTTGCCATACCCTGATGACATACCTCCAGTTCCAATGCCACCGGGTGCCACACCACCAGGTACCACGCCACCAGGTGCTACACCAGGAACAGTTCCAAAGCCAGGTGCTACCCCAGTCCCTGAGGAAAATGTAGTTATTTATTTTAAAATTATCGACAAATCACCTTTCTTCAACCAGTTTCAGGAGGGTAGCCATGTTGGTCTGAAACAGAAAAGCTAGATTTAAGTCTATTAGCACCTTAGAGACCAACAAGAGTCTAATTAAGGGAGCTTTGACTCTTGAAAGCTTATACCCCCAAAATCTCACTGGTCTCTAAGGTGTTACTGGACTTCTAGCTCTTTCTTCAACCAGTGGACCTAAGGCCCAAACATAAGGTCAAGTTAAAAAGGAATGCAGTAACTTATCTAACACCTTTCTAGATTGTCACACCAAAAGGGACAGAGACTGGGACAATCAGAAGGCTAGATTGTATTGCCTTCCTTTTGAGGGCAGGAAGACTCCAAGAAGGGGATGAACTCTCAAAGAGGAGATTATAAATTCTCAGGAAGAAGCTCTTGACTTTTGTCCAGGAAAGTAATAGTCATGAAGGACTAAACCTTTACATCAGGACTCCATCGTGACCATGTGTTGAGGGACAATGATCAGAAGTCTCATCTCTGAGAGCTAAGATTATGATGGATTTTGAAATGCTGCAACTTCAAGAATTATTAGCCTATCTTAATTAGACATTGGCTAGGGTAAGTATAGTGTTCAAGGTTGAGAGGACTGCATGGTTTCACCTTTTCTTTACATTCTTGCTTAGGACTGATGCTTGAACAGATCATGTGTTCTTTTTTTTTTTTTTGCTGTTTACGAAACTTGTATTTTGAATGCTCAGAGCCTGGTTTATGCAAAGACACCATATCTATTCAGTCCTCAGGGCTTTTCTAAGCTTCCAGAACCTGAGGGAATGGGGCTTGCAAGCCCATTCCATCACAGGTATGATTTCTTATAATTATCTGGGTGCTTGGCTTTTATTGTGAGCAGCCTCGAGCAGGTCTTGAGAAGTAGCATACAAATTTTCTAATCAAATAAGAAATGGGTCAGATGGCGCACATAAGGAACGTAAAGGAAAATCTTAATATTTATATTTTACAGTAATAGTTGTGGAAGTTGTGGAAAAGTGGGATCAGCTGCCTAGGGAGGTGGTGAGCTCCCCCTCACTGGCAGTCTTTAAGCAGCAGCTGGACAAACACTTGTCAGGTATGTTCCAGACTGATCCTGCATTGAGCAGGGGGTTGGACTAGATGGCCTCTGTGGCCCCATCCAACTCTGTGATTCTATGTATGCACAGAAGATCGATTCAGCTTCTGCCCTTTGGAATCCCATGGATCTCTCCCTGTCTGGACTTAAATCAATGAAACAGAAGCATCAATTACTCCAAGCTGAGCATAACAGTAAATTTCAGGCCAGCCTCATCTGGTTCGTTTGCATTACAAGACTATCCATAACAATCCTGTGAGTGACAGATAAGTGGGCCATTCAGCTCACCATATGCTGCTGCTTTAGCTGCTGCCTTTGCTGCTGCTGCCGCCGCCGCCGTCCCTGGAGCCACACCTGAAGGTACATACAAAAGACATGGTCAAGAAGCAGGACAGAATTTGTCCCATCAGGGGACACGTCTTCTTAATCTAACTCACCAGGAACACCACCTGGAGCCACACCTGGAAAGCCACCAACACCTGGTACTCCGCCTGGGACCCCACCAACGCCTCCGACTCCACCAACACCTGGGACCTGACCTGAAACAAAAGAGGTGAAATTGGAGGGCAAGCTTGTTCTGAATGGGCTTGCTAATAACTTTTGTAAAAAATGTTCTTATATTTTAAAGCCAACCCAAACAGGGAAAAAAACATAACAATGGTGGCAAGTCTACACTTAAGCCTCTATAAAAAGCTTCCTATTATCAAAAAATATGTCCATGCACAGTTCTTGTCTGTATGCCATAGGCTCAAATGTTAATAAAGCTGTAAGGTCCTCAATCCACTGAATTACTGGTGTGGGCATTTATCTTTCCAGTGACATAATATAGGTCTTTTAGCTACAGCAAGAGCACAGAGGCTCCAAGCAAACAGTTGAAAAGTACATAAAAGCATCCTCAAAGATCAATAAATGTTCTAATGCAAAACTGATATAAGTAATTACTTCTTTCCAAAAAGACCGAATAACTGAACAGGCCCAAAGCATATATTTAAGAGATGCATCTTGTAAGTTACAATACCAGCAATTAGACACCTTACTTAGTCCTTTAATGAAAAGATGCTGTGCAGTCCAGTGTATCCTAAATATATATATTTTTATTCAATAAATTGTTGCGCGATGGCAATAGAAACCACAAGTACAAGATTTAGGGCCAGATCCCTTAGTATTGGCAAAATAGGGTGATCTAGCTCCTCATTCCATTAATTTCTGCAAGTTCACATATCATATGTATTAATTGGCATCAATGATTTATAAACAAATATTTTTCTTCCTTGATTCAGAGAGAGTTTCCGAGAGTAATGGAGATTCTGAAGCACTTAGTGCTGCAGGGACATATTTAGATAACAACAGCTGTCGCAGTTGTAAACACTGCCATTCAACAGAGGTTGACAGATCATATCTAGACCTCAGCTGAGAAAATAACAAAAAAATTTCATCATAGTCTATTAATTGGTCCAAAGTAACTCCCCCCATCTGTCCTAGCCTCCCATAAAAAAATTCTTCCCAATTTTTAAATCTCGAAGGGCCCATAATGTTCATTTAGCATGTGAAAATGAGTTGACCTTATATTGTCATGACACTGCATGCCATCATTCTCTAACTGCAGAAACTGCAGGTGGAACAGGATCTATCTTAGCATTTATCACCCTTAATGCATTCCATTTGAAGAGCGGACCCAGACAAGAAGTCTCCAAAATAGCCCAACAGAGAGTCCAGTCAAGAGGAGTGATCAGCAGTGGTCAGCACAAGTTAACGAACATGCCTGATGATATAAACTAAGATCAGGAAAACCAAATCCTCCCTCATTAAATGGAGTTACATCCACTTTACAGAAAACGGAGGCTGTAAGGACCAGTGTTCCCTCTAAGCTGAGCTAGTGTGAGCTAGCTTACAGTTTTTTAGCCTCCGGCTCACACATTTTTGTCCTAGTTCAGGAAGGATGGGGCTCCAGAGCAAACTAATTTATGCAGGAGCCGAATCGCTCGCTCACAGCTTTAATGCCGGTAGCTCACAAAGGAGAATTTTTGCTCACAAGACTCCACAGCTTAGAGGGAGCATTGGTAAGGACCCCACATACATTTCCAAAATCCAGCCATGGAGATTTGCCATTGTTCATATTGATTTACATTCATTATCACTGCCAATTTCATCCACACACAAAGGTTCAGTAAGAACGTGTTGTTGAGTAACATCTCAAGGTGAAAAAAAAATGCTTCTGTATCTCTCCCAAAGGATTCTTTGCCTTTACTGTAGAATTCAGATCAGAACTCATAAAACGGTAAATTTGTTTCAGTAGTGGCAGTACATATTTTATTCTTCTCATTCTTCATCAGAGGAATATAATTCTTTTTCTTTTGATATCTTAAATAGTGTGATAAGATTTTACATGTTCTCTCACCACCTGCCCTATATGACAGGCATGAACAAGTTAAAGCGTACTCTGCTTTTGCTGACAATATGTTATTGAGCTTGTATTTAACTTTTCTCAGTTCCCGATAGCGACCCAGTGTGGGAGATACAGAAAATTGACTTAACAAATATTTCAACCTGTTTTTCAAAGTTGTTTCTTCCCCTTCTCTAAGTTTCTTCTTCTTGTGAGAAGCATATGCAATAATCCTTCGTCTGATAAAAGCTTTCCAAGCATCCCATTCAATAGCATGAATACCACCTGGTCCTTGGTTGATACTAAAATATTCTGATAATTCAGACATCATCTGAGTTTTAAAAGTTTCATTGGTAAGAAGAGAAACATTAAGCCACAGTAGACCAGGTGCTGTAACCCAATCTGGAAAACAAAGGGCTAGGAACCTGGGTGTGGTCAGAAATAATAATTATATCCATATTACAGGCTATATTCTGGGGCATCGAAGGAGCCAAAACAAGAAAATAATCTGATCAGAAGCAATAGTGATGCAAAGAAAACAGAAGTATAATCTCTGTCCCTTTAGTGCAAAATATGCCAAGGATCAATCAAACCCAGTTCAGCTATATAAGCTCTAAGTGTAGATCTCACCAAAGAATATTCTTTGCATGGGGGTATACTTAAATCTAGAACTGTATGTAGTATTTCATTAAAATCTCTCCCAAAGCACAGATAATCATATGTAAAATTTACCAGGTGGCTGAAATACTGATGACACATATCTGAAGAGTCCGTATTTGGACCATACACATTAATCATAACAATAACAGAATCAAAGCTTTTCACTACGAAAATAATAAAGAAAATGTTTCAGTCTATTATCATTTGTTGTCCTGAAAAGAAATCAATTTATATATCAATATAGCAATGTGTTAGTTAGTTTGTTAGTTGTATCTGTAGTTAGTTAGATGTATCTGTAATATCTCCAACCAAACTCTACACAGATAATTCTTATTGTTTGCCTTTATATGAGTTTCTTGTAAAAAAGCCACATCATCAGAGCTTTCAGTTTAGAAATAACCTTTTTGTGCTTAGTAGCACAACATCTGAAAATATCACACTGAACATAAAGCTTGAAAATAATGTATTTAATCAACAATGCCCAATTCCCCAATCTCAGAAAAGCTGCAGCAAGGAACTAAGGCTTTACATCAGGATTAAATCTTTACATGTTGACCATGTGTTGAAGGACTCTGAAATGCCACAACTAGTCTATCCTAATGAGGCAGAGTTTAGGACAAGTATGGAGTTCAGGGTTTAGAGGACTGTGCGTTTTCACCTTTTCTTTACATCCTTGCTCAGACTAATTCTTTTAAAGATCATGTGTACTCTTTTGATTGTTGTTTATGAAACTTGTATTTTGAATGCTCAAGGCCTGATCTCTGCAAACACACCATGCGTATTCAGTCTTCACAGCTTTTGCAAGAGAATCTGAGGGAACAGAACTTGCAAGTCCATTCCATCACAGGTATGATTTGTTTTAACTGTCTGGGTGCTTGGCTTTTATTGTTGTGAATTGCCTCAAGCAGGTCTTGAGAGGCAGCATATTAATTTTCTAAACAAATAAAAAAGGTCACATGGAGCATGTAAGGAATGTGTGCATAGAACATCGATTCTACTTCTGCACTATGGAATCCCATGAAACTCTCCTTGGCTGGACTTAAATGAAAGGAACAGGAGACTCAGTTACTCAAAGCTGAGTGTAACAGTGAATTTCAGGCCAGCCTTGTCTGGTTCATTTGCGTTACAAGACTACCCACAGCAATCCTGTGAGTGACAGATAAATGGCCCATTCAACTCACCATATGCCGCTGCTTTAGCTGCTGCCTTTGCTGCTGCCGCCGCCGCTCCTGGACCAGCACCTGCAGGTAGATACAAAAGACACGGTCAAGAAGCAGGGAAGAATTTGTCCAGGTAGGGGACACATCTTCTTATCCTAACTCATCAGGGATAGTACCTGGAGCCACACCTGGAAAGCCACCAACCCCTGGGACTCCACCTGGGACCCCACCAATGCCTCCGACTCCACCAGCACCTGGGACTTGACCTGGAATAGAAGAAGTGAAATTGGAGGGCAAGTTTGTTCTGAATGGGCTTGATAAATAAATAAAGTTAAATAAAGTCCTAATTTTATGAAGATATCTACAAGGTAAAAGGAAAAGAACTGCATGTAATATTGTTACCTAAAGACTGTAACTATATGATAACAATAAATTTTAATAATAATAAGTTTTAACAAGTTAATCATTAATATATCTTTGGACTTGGACAGATGGGAAATCGTAAACCTTTGTTTGTGGGGTAAAGAAAATACACTCAAAATGAACATCACAGCTTGGATTATGTGTGTATTCTAACATAAGTAATGACATCTGGGCACCACCAAAAATGCCCGTCGGCAAATGTGTGCATATAAAGTGCTGTCAAGTCACAGCCGATTTATGGCGACCCCAGCAAGGGGCTTTCAAGGCAAGTGAGAAGAAGAGAGGTGGTTTGCCAGTGCCTTCCTCTGCAGAGTCTTCCTTGGTAGTCTCCCTTCCACGTACCAACCTGCTTAGCTTCTGAGCTCTGACGAGATTGGGCTATACCATGCCGCCTTCCCTCCCGCATCAGTAAATTCAATCCATGATATATTGTCTCCCAATGGCATCACCTCAGGTTTTGTTCCGTTAATCGAACAGTCAGACAAATCACCAAAAGTTTTAATTATGTTCATTAATACAGGAATGCAAGACTGGGGCTCCAAACTGAACACTAAAAGACCACCTGCATAAAGAACAATTCTACATTCCGAAGAGTTATGTACGAAGCCATGAACTGTTACTATTTCGTCTGATAGCATAAGCCAGAGGTTCCAAACACAGATCAAAAATAAGAGGAGGAAGAGGACAACCTT